GTGGGCATAAGATCATCTTCATTAAAACAAAACACACTAAAAAATGATTATTCATTCGTCGATTAAGATGTTATTGTCGTTACCAAATTTCCAACAATGGCATTAATTTGATTTGTTATAGGTTAAGATGGTTTACTTAAGGATATCACCATTTTTTTGCGCGTCTCACGGTGAACTTTCTTCAAAACAGCAACCCTTCAAATTGTGAGGCATCGTGGCGAAATCGGGCGCTCGTCAAAATACCAAAACTGGAGAAACAAGCATTTTTCTACCAATTTGGCATTTTATTTTTCGATTTTTTGGGGTTTTTTTACTCACGGCCTTTTATGTCCATAATATAAAGAACACTTTTCCGTGTGAGTTGTACTGAAAAGCGTTTATCAAAGGCACACATAATGGCATTTTTCAGTTTTTAAAGACTCTTTCGCTACAGGAATTATCAAACTTTGGCGGCTATTTTCTTGCAAATTTCACCATTGAAATCAAGCAACCTCACCCTCTTCAATCGCAAGTATCTTGACTTCTATTCAACTTAGATGAATATTTTTTTCATCGAAAGCAAAGCAAATAAATAAGCTTTCGGCTGATACCAATAACTCTACATGCCCAAAAATTGACGAGCCCCTTATTCCACCGAGTTGTGACACAATTTGTTTATCACTGCCAACTCCTCCCCTCCCTTGTCCAGTCTGCTGACCATAATAGAGTCGATAGTGCCGTAAAACACCTACTTAATCAATCAATCAATCCCCAGTCTGCCCCTCCCCCTCTCTCCGAGTCCTGAACGGCCAACCGGTCCTGAACCAGTGCACGTATGCTGGCGTGGCCCGCATCAACATCCCTACAACCGGCGTGGACTCGTGCAGCGCTGTATTCGCACTCACCACCGTCAATGGCGTCACGCAGAACGCTTTCCTCACCTCCAAGGGATGCACGGACGCCATTGCCCTCATTCTTAACGACACAGCTGCGCCCATCATGTGAGTTTGTTTGTTTGTGTGAATATTAGGTATTTTTGTCTGTATGTTAGTGTGTTTGTCTCTATGTAAGTGTGTTTGTCTCTATGTAAGTGTGTGTCTGTATGTAAGTTTGTTTGTCTTAATGTAAATCAGAACGTTAGTTATACTACAAGCTTCTGAAAAGTTGGTTTCTCTTAAACATGAGTGAGGGAGAATAAAGGATAGAGCAATGTTTGCTGCCATGAGTAAACGATGCTAGTTTTTAGATTTAGTAAGGTTTCACGGCGCTCGCAACTGCATAAGGTCGTATGAGCGCCAAGGGGTGGATGTCAACAGAGAAGTCTAAACGGGGATTCAGGCTTACTCTCTTCACTTCTCTAGCCTCAACAGCACAAAGTCTGCTTCGCTGCCAACAGAAATAGCAGTTCACTGGAGAGTGGTAAACATACAAAAGAAGTAGAGGTAAAATGACGATTGTAAGGATGAGGAGGGGGGAGCAGCAGTTCCCCTATGTTGTTCCGGCACAGTATGAGCATGACATGGATAAATCAGACCATTTACAATTTTACTGTGCCTAAGATCATCCCCCCTTTGGGCAGGGCTTAAAGACACTTCAGTCAGTAGCACTGCCTTGGGGGGGGGGGGGGTGCTGTAACATAACAATGATTACCACGACATTGACAGTAGTTTATCTCCTACTTTTCCGCTACTAACTTCACGAATAAATACGGCATCGTGTACGCATGACAGCAAACATTGTTCGAGACTTTATTCTCACTCTCTCATTATTAAGAGAAACCAACCTTCTGGCAACTTGTGGTAAAAGTAAGTAAAGTTGTTCCCGCATCAGCAGGTATAGCATGGTTAAAAAGTTGTTCCCGCATCCGATCCGGACATTGGGGATTGCCTTGTTAGTGAGACAACTTCCTGGGCCTTCGGAATACTGTAGTAGGGTGGCCAGTTCCTTTCTACGCCGCCTTTACTTCCTCAACTCGAAGTCAGGTACCCATTACTGCTGGGTGGGTAGGAGGGGCGGAAAAAAAAATCCGGGTTTGAACCGAGGCTCGAACCCGGACTTTCCGCTTCGGAGACGAGCGCACTAACCGCTCCGACACCACAACAGAAAAGTCCAGGCGGGAACTCCGGCTTACAGCTCAAACGCACAGGCTCCATACAGACCATATAGAAAAAGTGCGTTTGCGTTCACCATTATATTTTACAACTTGACATGCACACAGCAGCCAGACATCTGCGTCCAGATTTTTTCCGTCCACCGCACAATCTGGATTGCGTCAAGCATGGCATACATTTTCTGTTCTGTGCGGACTATAGATGTACACTATAGCAGAGACACAAATACTCTCTGCTATAGGTTTAAAAGGAGATGACTCTATGGTGCACACAGAATAGGGGAGTTGTCATCACTTAACACGCCGGCATACACACTCCGCTACACACTTCGCACGGTGTGCAAAATGGACGATGCCGATACACAGCTTATCGAACTCGCGCGGTCAGGAACAGTGCTTTTTTAATTAAGATTTTTAAAAAAACCAAAGTTACACGAACAGAGATGTCATCCATAAAATGTTGTTGGCGTCATTCGAAAATATTCCACACATTTCTCTACATCAGCTAATGTTTGGGGCAACAATTTGAATTCTCCCAAAGCTCCCTCACAAATTGGGTGAATCTAGGGATGCCGTTTGGATGCTAGGCCTTTTCTTTTGTACCACCAAAGCAGAAATAGCTTGTGCTTCCTCGTGAGCGCCATCTTAAAACCGGAAAAATCAATTTGGTCTGCATCGACCCTGTGTGAAACTACAGCTCCCACCACTGCCACGACTGCAGCCCC